GAGTCTAGGGAGAGAGTTTGCATCTACATACCACTTGTAGATCGCGTGCGGAAGCTTGCAAGGTGATGATGTAGTCGTACTCGACGTGATCCAAATCACCGATGACCAGCGCCGAACGGACGGCACCTCCGCGTTCAACACACGTACGAAACAGCCACGTCTCCTCCTTCTTGATCCAGCAAGGAAGGGAGGAGAGGTTGAGGGAGATGGCACCAGCAGCAGCACGACGGCGTGGTGTTGATGGAGCTGCAGTACTCCGGCAGAGCTTCGCTAAGCACTATGGAGGTGGAGGAGGTGTTGGGGAGGGAGAAGGAGGCAACCAAAGGCCAGGGCGTTCAGGTATGAAGTCCCTCCTCTCCCCCACTATATATAGGGGTGCCAAGGGGGGGTGGCCGGCCCTAGGAGATCCAATCTCCTAGGGGGTGCGGCGGCCAAGGGGGTTTTCCCTCCCCCCAAGGCACCTAGGAGGTGCCTTACCCTCCTAGGACTCTTGCCCCCCTTGAACCCTAGGCGCATGGGCCTATGTGGGGCTGGTGCCCTTGGCCCATTAGGCCAAGGCGCACCCCCACACAGCCCATGTGGCCCCCCGGGACAGGTGGACCCACCCGGTGGACCCCCGGGACCCTTCCGGTGGTCCCGGTACAATACCGATAACCCCGAAACTTGTCCCGATGCCCGAAACAGGACTTCCTATATATAAATCTTTACCTCCGGACCATTCCGGAACTCCTCGTGACGTCCGGGATCTCATCCGGGACTCCGAACAACATTCGGGTTACTGCATATACATATCCCTATAACCCTAGCGTAACTGAACCTTAAGTGTGTAGACCCTACGGGTTCGGAAGACATGCAGACATGACCGAGACTCTCTCAGTCAATAACCATCAGCGGGATATGGATACCCATGATGGCTCCCACATGCTCCTCGATGTTGTCATCGGATGAACCACTATGTCGAGGATTCGATCAAACCCTGTATGCAATTCCCTTTGTCAATCGGTACGTTACTTGCCCGAGACTCGATCGTCGGTATCCCAATACCTTGTTCAGTCTCGTTACCGGTAAGTCACTTTACTCGTACCGTAATGCATGATCCCGTGTCCAACACCTTGGTCACATTGAGCTCAATATGATGATGCATTACCGAGTGGGCCCAGAGATACCTCTCCGTCATACGGAGTGACAAATCCCAGTCTTGATCTGTGTCAACCCAACAGCTACTTTCGGAGATACCTGTAATGTACCTTTATAGTCACCCAGTTACGTTGTGACGTTTGGTACACCCAAGGCACTCTTACGGTATCCGGGAGTTACACGATCTCATGGTCGAAGGAAGAGATACTTGACACTTGCAAAGCTCTAGCAAAACGAACTACACGATCTTTTATGCTATGCTTAGGATTGGGTCTTGTCCATCACATCATTCTCCTAATGATGTGATCCCGTTATCAACTACATCTAATGTCCATAGTCAGGAAACCATGACTATCTGTTGATCACAACGAGCTAGTCAACTAGAGGCTTACCAGGGACATAGTGTGGTCTAAGTATTCACACGTGTATTACGATTTTCGGATAATACAGTTATAGCATGAATACAAGACAATTATCATGAACAATGAAATATAATAATACTTTTATTATTGCCTCTAGGGCATATTTCCAACAGTGCTCGTCCTAGAGCCATGTGTCCCACAGCCGGGAGTCGGGGGGCGTACCTGTCGTCGTAGTACAGGTTGTCGGGGAGGAGGCGGCGGCGGCGCTCAATCTCATCGTGGCGCGCACGGCCGCCCACAGGCACCGGCGGGACCGGGACCCGATCCGCGCTGAGGTGCCATCCGTTGGGGAGGTGGACGTCGCTCCACGGGACCGACGTCCTCGTCTCCCAGTAGCGCCGGCACACCTCTGCGCAGAGGTACTGCCGGTCGGGCTCGCCGGCGGGCCTAGGGATGATGGTGAAGGGGGCCAGCGCGGGGGCTCGACGAGAGGAGCGCGGCGGTGACGCGGGCTCCTCCTTCACGGAGCTGCGGCAGCGGCCCGAGGAGGAGCCGGCCTCGTGGTCGTGCTTCCCCTTGCGGCCGTAGTTCCAGAGCCCCATGGCTGCAGCCGGCCGGCGAGTTCGAGGATGGGGAGCGGCTAGGGTTTGGTCGGGTCGGCTTTCGAGGGGGCAGAGAGGGGCCGGAGTGGGGAAGTGGAGATGAGGACGACGACCGGTCCACGGGTCCCATTTAAGAAGGACTGCGACCGTCCGATGGCCGGATGACAGGTGAGGCCAGCCGCCCGTGCGCATTTATGTTGGCAGTTGGGAGGTAGGTGGCCGCTTGCCATGCGGCCCCGACGCGGACAAGCGTACGTCCGTTTGCCGTCCGCCGTGACCCAAACCAGACGCAAGTTTGCGCTCGAAATGGGTCGGTCCGGATACAAAACAGACAAAATGGGTCCGGGCCGGCGCGCGTTGGGCCGCCTGATTTGTCCTCTTTTATTTCAAACGGATGGGGTCGGACAAGATGGGGTCGTGCGGTGGAGTTGGCCTAAGAGACCGTGTGCACACCGGAGCCGGCGATGCCCTTGTCCGCGTCCGTTGGACTTTTCGCGAGTCGCACACCTTGTTGTCCAGCGCCCCCGTCTGCGTAAATAAGCACATAATTCAGATGGGAGTGTTGAATTCCTGATTTTATGGCCGGTAAGCTACCGTTGCATGCTATCACTCGCGTGTGCAGCGAGCGAATCCTCGTCCTAGGCGGAGTAGGAAGATTGTGACGAGCAGCGGGGGCTTCATATCATAATAAATATTTGCAGCGAGCCTGACTTGTGACAACTGTAGCTTGTAGGGGATTCCTCGCCCATCATTTTGAACTCGATCTCTCCGAGTTGACTTGTACCACCAGTCCACAACTTACACCATCGACTGCCCTTTGCATCTTTGGCCATTGGACTACCAATTAATCCTCGCCAACGTCATTGATTTATAGCTAGCTAGTGCTACATCCTTCACGTAGAAGTAGAACCACAAGCAGAGGGAGGAAGCAAATGCTCTGAGTCTCCGTGTTGAAACCGCTGGAACACCCTGAGCTGCTTTTGGTGTGACCGCCTGGAATTGCTCTGCCACTCCTCATGTGCACATCACACTTAGCCCTATCGCTGTCCAAACTACTGCTTGCATCCACAAAAAAATAGATACTCTTATTTCATACTGTATTTATTTGTAGAGAGTATATAATCATACTACTCCAGTTCCTGGAAAACAGGATGCTCCCAAGCTCCCATCAAAGGTCACTATTGCCCATGATCTCTGGATTGTTGCTGTTGGGTTCCAGTCGGTCAGAGTAATCTTGCGTTATTAACAGAGACAAGCCAAATTTACAACCAAGGACAAATACCAGGTGGTAACTCCCACCTACATCTACCGTGGTAGCGTGGACCTCGTACGCACGGCCCATGATATCGTCAAGTGACAGACACCTTCAAGTCTTCAAGTTCCATTTTTCCTTTTTGCGTGGTATACGAAAGAAAAAAAAATCCACGTTCGGGTTCAAGGGCTTTTAAACAGAGCAAGGAAATACTGCACGAGCTTCCAAAGCTGCTAGGCGTACTCCCGCCCGCGAGTCTCCAAGCTCCTGCGGATGAAGGCGTACGCGCCCTAGCCAAAACCCCTATAAAACCCCTTGCACAGTAAAATACACCTCCACTCCACAGTAAAAACACACGCCCACAAGCAAGCAGAGGCCCCAGGACCGATCGAAGCAACCAGTGCCATGGACAAGGAGGAGCAAGAAGACCGCGCGACGTGGGTCCCCGGCGCCCTCATCGTCGGCGCGGGCCCGTCGGGGCTGGCAGCCGCCGCGTGCCTCGCGGCTCGCGGCGTGCCGGCCACGGTGCTCGAGAGGTCCGACTCGCTGGCCTTCGCGTGGCGCCACCGCATGTACGACCGCCTCGCGCTCCACCTGCCCAAGCGCTTCTGCGAGCTGCCGCTCCTCCCGTTCCCGGCCGAGTACCCGACCTACCCCTGCAAGGACCAGTTCGTGGCGTACATGGAGGCGTACGCCGCCGCGGCGGGCGTGGCCCCTCGCTTCGGCGCCAGCGTCGAGGAGGCCGCGTTCGACGCGTCTGCGGGCGCCTGGGCGGTGCGCCTGGCGGGCGGCGAGGTGCTGATGACCAAGTGGCTGGTCGTGGCGACGGGCGAGAACGCCGAGCCGCACGTCCCGGACTTCCCCGGCATGCGGCAGTTCGCCGGGCGCGTCCTGCACACGTGCGAGTACAAGTGCGGCGAGGAGTTCGCCGGGGAAAAGGTGTTGGTGGTGGGGTGCGGGAACTCCGGCATGGAGGTGAGCTTGGATTTGTGCCGGCATGGCGCTAAGCCCTCCATGGTGGTGCGGAACACGGTAATACTCCACAATCACAATGAGCTCGTGCTCTATCTATGTAGCGAAGATTATGCTGTTAGGATCCGTCCTTGTTTTCTTGCTGCCTTTTGTTTCTTTTCTGTTGTAGTTCGTGCAATTATTTTTTACTCTGCTCCTCTTTGGTGCACTTAACTTCTTGGGCATTTCCCCTTCGGTGCCTAGCCTATTTTCTCCGTGTCACGCACGCACCCTACTTGCTGCCATCTTTCATGACAAGCATGTTCCAATCTGCATGGGTGCTGTTGTTGATCCGTTTTGTTTCCCTTCTCTTTTGCTTCAACTATTTATGCCCGCCCGTTTCGTCTCTCGCCGTTGGAGCGAGCGATCATTCACGCTGAAACTAAGTGCGCACGGTCATTTTCTTTTGTACAGGTCCATGTGCTGCCAAAGGAGATGTTGGGTGTGTCCACGTTTGGCATTGCCATGGCTTTGCTCAAATGGCTGCCGGTCCAGCTGGTGGATCGGTTCATCCTGGCGGCGGCGCGCTTGACCCTGGGCAACACGAGCCAGCTCGGGCTTAGGCGGCCCAAGACGGGGCCCATCGAGCTGAAGAACCTCACCGGCAGAACCCCCGTGCTGGACGTCGGGACTCTAGACCACATCAAATCAGGCAAAATTAAGGTTAGTGCCCTCAGTCGACTAGCCTTGTTCCACGAAAGAATAATTAAGATTGGCGTAAACTGTCGAAACGTTAGCCGTGCGGGCCACCGCCCAATCTGGCATATCATACCAGTTATCAGCCAGGCCTTGAATGAAAGCTCACACAAGCTCCATTTCTTCTCTGTCGCCACACCACCACAGCACATGCACGCCTTTACGTTTCTCTGCCGATTTCCTTGTGTATGTATGCGCTGAGGTCATGTGATAACCAGGTGGTAGGAGCAGTGAAGGAGGTGACGAGGCTCGGGGCCAGGCTCGCGGACGGCAAGGAGGAGCAGCAGTTCGACGCAATAATACTGGCGACGGGCTACAGGAGCAACGTGCCGTCCTGGCTCAAGGTAAATATAAACAACAACCCAAGTGACGCCACCAAAAAGGACTCCCTTGTTCGTTTTTGGTCTGCACAGCTTAGCGCAACAGTACTGGCACAGTAGGCGTCATGCCGTCACCTTGCCCTGCGTCCCCGCGTCACGGCCGTCCTCCCCCTTCCGCTGTTGGGCCATTTCCCTTCTCGTGTATCGGGGAGGGGCAGAGGCAGCTCGTGCCCTCGCCTGAGATCAGCCATGCGTTCCTTTCTCCCGAACTGTCCACCTCTCTCGCGCCAAGTGATCGAGTCAGTGACTCACCGTGGGCGTGGGCATGGGCATGGGCGCCCACCGGCGTGGATGCTGGACTCGAGAGTTTGGATATACGCTTGCGTTGCGTCGGCCCGGTCCAATCTATATGGTCTATTTCGGGTGCTAGTATCAGTATGGGACAACAAAAGGTTATCCAAACTACATATAGTCAAGAATTGGCAAGAAAGGTAGTGCTACTTGGTTGAGTCTGACATACTTACAGTAGATTTTACCCCATTAAGATCGCTAGAGCCTAAGCTCAAAAAAAAAAAAGATCGTTACAGCCTATGTAACTGTATGCGCTCCTTTTTTTTTTGTCTAGTCTGATACACTCCATGGCTGATCGTTCCTAATTTTCAGGATGGGGGTGATGTCTTCACAACAGAAGGCACGCCCAAAACCCCTTTCCCTGACGGCTGGAAAGGGCGAAACGGGCTCTACACCGTCGGATTCTCGCAGCGAGGGCTCCTCGGAACATCATCAGACGCCCTATGCATCGCCAGAGATATATATGGCCAATGGAGGGAAAGAGAAAGAGAACGAGAAAGAGATAAACCCACTAGCAATGTGCACGAAGCTGATAGCTCTGTTTGATTCTCATGTGAATGTACAGCGTTTGAGTAGGAGTTTTGTGCATATAACAACCCGTCTCTTGCCTGTCGCTGGGCACAACATTTGCTAAATGTTTTGGGATGATGTTTAGTGGAGTAGAACGGTGGTATGTGTAACGTGTCCCTAGAGCACGTAAGCCAGCTTCTGCCAGATTTTTTTTTTTTAGAATTGCCAAGAGCTTTTTTTTTTTTGAGAAATAATTGCCAAGAGCTACGACGCGTTCGGCTGCCAGCAGCCACTCCTTTCGGCCTCATGGGCTGGTAGCCCATGAATCCAGCCTGACGCCCGTTCGGCAGTTGCTTGGACCAGGTGTTGTTAGCCCAATTCGGTGAGAGAGAAAGGCTGGGCTGAAAGGGGGTTGAGTATGGGCTGTAGGCCTATTTTTTTCTTCTTTGCTACGACCTTTCCAATACATAGCAGTTTTTCCCTTCTTGTAAAAAAAAAACATAGCTTTTCCCTGTACACAGGGTGCACTATAAGGTAGTACAAGTCCAAAGAAGTATGCAAAGCATGTAAATTTCGGAATTTCACCAAGTTTAGACGGAAAAAAAACCAGGATTTAACATATGTCCCACAACAAAAGCTTCATCTTGCATAGTTCGCAAATCAAAATGGGGACGAAGGCCCTCCTCTGGCGACACGGGGGAAACCCCAGCCGCCGCCGCAAGGAAACCCTCCCTCCGCCTACTCCCGTTGCGCCGCCGCCGGAGGGCCGGCTGGCGAAGCCGTGCCGCGCCCCGGGATGGTGGCGGTGGGACGGGTCGGTTCCCCTCGCGCATCCCCACCCCACCCCACCCACAACCTCGAGATCCACCAGCCGCCGCCGTCGGGAAGCTCCCCCTTCGCTCGCCGCCACTGCGTCGCCGCTGGAGGGCCGACCGACGAGACCGCGCCGCGCCCCGGGATGGTGGCGGCGGGGCGGTTTTCGCCTCTCACGCTTCCCCCTACCCCGCATCCCCGATTTCTTCGCGCACCGCGGGCGCCCTCCCTTCCAGCTGCTGCAACTCCTGCCAGTCCGGCATCGGACGCAGCGTTCTTGGCTTCGGCCTCGGTGTCCTCCCTGCATTCCGCCCATCCCCCTGTTGCAGCACGACCCAACCCTACTAGTGCTGATGTTGCCCATCGGCTGGGTGCGAGTCCTGCGGCCGACTGCGGGGTTGTTCTTTGCCCACCTCCGTGCAGGCGCCCCCCCATTTCTGGCGGCCCTTCCTCCCCTCTGCGAGCAATGGTGATGGCTAACGCACAGAGGCGACGAGGCTACAGTGCTTGTGCAGTCACGGTGCTTCTCAAGGCGGGTACTTGCTAGCGCTGCTCCGGCCCCGACGAGCTTGGGCCTGCGTCTCTCCGTTGCCCACGACCGCTGGTGTCCTTTGCCGGGCAGCTCCGCCCTTGGTGACCCAGCAGCTGCGTCCCTTCCAGCTCGCTTGGCTCACCGACGTTTCGATGGTTATGGCCACGGCAACTTGGATCTGCGTCCCTCCAGTCCTAGCTTGCCGGTGTTGCTGATTGTCGTCGCCCCACCCTCCTCGTGGTTCGCTCTGTCGCCTGTCCTGCCTTGTACATCTCGAAAGCCTCCCTCTTTGGTCAGATCCAATGCTCGTTGGTCCGGAGGAGGTGCCACCCTCCGAAGGCAGGTGCAGCCCGGCCAACCGCCTCCCTAATCAGTGGCTCTGGTTAGTGACGGCTTCCTCATCTTCGACTCTAGATACGATGGCTATGGGATTGCTCAACCTATGGCCGGAGCGAAATCTCTGCCCGGCTTGCCAGTGCTGGCAGCGTTGGCGTCTGCGGATGTCGTTTCCTTCTTGGAGGCACTGTCAAGGCCCTCGGCTGAGCCCCTCCTCGAGCACAGGGGAAACCCTAGGTCCTCCAGACCGGATGGCGATGGCGTCTCGGCATCGTCTTCCTTCTTGAAGGCGCTATCTTGCTCGCTCGTGGTGCCCCCGATTTTTGGTTTTCGCGATGTTGGTATTCTCGCTAGTTTGGCTTTGCCGCTTTTGGTTCAGGCTTGATAGGTCTAGCTGTGTTCTATCCTTGTTCGGGCCGAGCATCCCTTGTCTCCCTGCTCCGGGCACCATGTTCACGCTTGCCTGCTTCGTGTCATGTGATGTATCCCCTCTGTACTCATTCTATTCCTTCTAACAATGCAATGATACGCAAGCTTTGCGTATTCGCGAAAAAAATGGGGACGAATATCTAAACACCACAAACATGACTTCACCAAGCAAAAGCAATGACGGTTGTTAGTTCATTCATAACCCTATCCATGTTTTTTTGCGGAAAACTTTCGATCTATTCATCTCTAATCATGGCAGTACAATCAAACACAAGAAATAATAAAAATTACATAGTAGACAATCGGAAAGTCGTTGTGCTTGTAAAGGTTTGATGGAAGCATTGAACCCTTTGCTCGGGCCGCATCCCTATTTATATCATATGTGTGCCGTGGCTTACAAGAGATCGAGAGAAGATCGATCACGATCATTACAAGAGATCGGGGAGGTTACAACAGAAGAAGAGATAGAAAGATACAAGTTTAAACACCTCTCCTACCTCTCTACAATATCATCTAACACTCCCCCTCAATCTAAACCTCAAGAAACTTTCACAAGGTTAAGATTGTACTTGAACTCATCCAACCTCCTCATAGTAAGGGGTTTTGTGAAGCCATCAGCAAGTTGATCTCCAGTAGGTATAAACCGAATGTCAAGTAGCCTTCGAGCTACCCTTTCTCTAACAAAGTGGAGATCGACCTCAATATGCTTGGTACGTGCATGAAAAACAGGGTTAGCTGAAAGATAAGTTGCACCAATATTATCGCACCATAATCTAGCAGCTTGTGGAGCCTTGATTCCAAGTTCATAGAGCAATGTTTGTATCCACATTACTTCTGCTGTAGCATTAGCCAAAGATTTATATTCAGCCTATGTACTTGACCTTGAGACAGTAGCTTGTTTTCTTGCACTCCATGATACAAGATTAGTTCCCAAAAACATAGCAAAACCACCTGTAGATCTTCTATCATCAGCACACCCTGCCCAGTCTGCATCAGAGTAGGCAGTAACAAGTAGAGAAGAAGACATGGTAATCTGAAGCCCAAGTCCTTCAGAAAATTTTAGATACCTTAAAATCCTCTTGACTGCAGTCCAGTGAGTTGTTCTAGGTGCATGCAAATACTGACATACCTTATTCACAGAGTAAGAAATATCAGGACGTGTAAGATTCAGATATTGCAAGGCACCCACAACACTTATGTAATTAGTTGCATCCTCTGGTCCAAGTGCTTCTCCACTTTCAATTGTAAGTTTCTCAAAAGTTGAAATTGGTGTACTCACAGGTTTACAATTGTGCAAGCCTACTCTCCTGAGTATATCAGTGGTATATTTTTCCTGTGTAAGAAGTATACCATCCTTGATCTGCTTTACTTCTATGCCAAGAAAATAGTGAAGATCTCCCAAGTCCTTGAGAGCAAACTCTAACTTTAGATCTTTAAGCAAACAAGTGGTAGCATCTGAACTTGAGCTTGCAACAATTATATCATTAACATAAACAAGCACAAATATAGTAATATTGTCTTTATGATAAAAGAACAATGAGGTATCTGCTTTGGATGATGTGAACCCAAGTTGTTGTAACTGCATGCTTAACCTTGAGTACCAGGCTCTAGGGGCCTGTTTCAAACCATATAAGGCTTTATCCAACTTACAGACATGATGAGGTGTGCTTTGGTTTTCATATCCAGGTGGTTGTCGCATGAACACTTCTTCCTCAAGAACACTATGAAGAAACGCGTTCTGAACATCTAGCTGACGTAAGCTCCAACCTTTGGAAATAGCAATAGAAAATACAAGTCGAATAGTAGCTACCTTAACAATAGGACTAAATGTATCTTCATAATCAATAACAAATCTCTGCTTAAAACCTTTGGCAACTAATCTAGCCTTGTATCTGTCTATGCTTCCATCAGGTTTTCTTTTTATTTTATATACCCATTTGCAATCTATGACATTGCTACCTTTATTTGGAGGTACTAAGTGCCAAGTTCTGTTTTTCACGAGAGCATCATATTCAATATCCATAGCCTCCTTCCATTCTTTCTGAGCTAGAGCATCATGCAAATGATTTGGTTCTCCAACACTACTAAGAAAAGCATGTTTGACTCTGTCATATCGTACCGTACCATAAGTATACTCTTTTTCTTTGACAATACCTGACTGTGACTGAGTGTGTCGACGAGGAGGCTGAGGTAGTGCTGTTGATGTAGCCACAGGAGATCCAGAAGCAGCAGACACCTCCACAGAAAATCCAGGTACCGAGTCCAAGGCAGATTCTGCCCTTGTAGCTGATCCAGATGCTGCCGACGCGGGTGTCCCCCTGTCACCAGCCGCGCCAACCGCCGCGTCGTCCCGTGGACAGATGGCACGCGGGGAAACACCCCCACCCGTGCCTAGGCTGGCGGGCTCCACCCTGTAGCGGCTGTCGGCCACATGCGCTCCGGCGCCCGCGCCTAGGCTGGCGGGCTCCACCTGGTGGCGGTTGTCGGCCACACGAGCACCTGTGCCCGTGCCTGGGCTGGCGGTCTCACCCAATCGCGAGGCGAGACGGGCAGGGTCCACCTGATCGGCCACCCGTGTGTCGGTGGACGCATGCAGGGGAGGGAAATCCTCCTGGGATCGCACGCCACCAGAGACAGACGGGCTGACACATGGATCTGCATGGGATCCAGCGCCGCTGCCAGCCGAATCAGCATGGGATCTCGTGCCTGTTTCGTCCAGATCTGCACACATAAAATGACGGCCACAATCTGCAGAATTACAATTTTTTGTGTTTTTTTCCACATGATCGGCTTTATTTAATTCACCCCCGTGATCTGGAAGCAAGGCTATTTCAGCACGAAGAAGGGCTCCTGCGTTGGGATTAAGTTTGGAAAAAGGAAACAGAGTTTCATCGAAAACAACATCCCTTGAAATATAGATACGTAT